GCTCCTGGAGCTCTGGGACAGGGTGGGACGTGCGTACCTGGGCTTTGGAGTCAGATCTGGGCTCGAGTCCTGGGTTGGCCGCTTAGACCCATTAGCAGCAGTGAGGCGGTGGAAACGCCACGGGGAGCATGGGGTGGCGTGGTGCATAGGCAAGGGGCACACAGGCCAGTTGTGATGCTGCGGCAGCACCCCCCCATCTGCTGCCTGCCTGTGTGTCTGCGGGAGTCCCCTCCTCAGAGAGTAGAAAGCCTCACCTCCCCGAGGGGCCTGGGGCCAGGATTTGGGAAGGATGGAAGCCCTGTGGGACAAGGGTACACATAGGAGAAAGCATGTTAATTTTCGGGAGAAGGCTGGGATCTGGGGCACCCAAGGAAATCCATTCTTGGTGTCAGAAAACTTTGGATTCTCCAAGCCCCAGTCCCAGGGAGGAGGAAGGGGTGGGGGAAGAGAGAGCGAGCGAGTGAGAGAGAGAAAGGCAGGGGGGGTGGTAAGAGCAGGAGAGGGTGAGCACACAGCTCTGTAATGGAAACTTGGCACCTAGCCTCCACTTCTTTCCTTCCTTAGTGCATGTGGCTTGAGTCTCGGGTTGAGAACGTCTTCCCCTTTCAGCAGGCACCCCGCATGATCTCCATGGCCCACTCCTGTCCCCCCCTTCTCAGAGCCTGCAGTTATGCACCCTGCCTCTGCCGGTGACACATGACATGTGAGCCTCCTGCCTCCTTCCTCATGCGCCCCCTCCCCCCGGGCTAATTAGGCCAACATGCAACTTCCAGGGCCTGGCAGATGAGGAGCCAAGAATGCGGTGGACAGGTGCCAAGTGTTTTTGTTGACATTGCTCAAGTGCAGCTTTGTGGAGCAGCCTCTGCTGGAGCAGAGAAATCCAAGGAAGTCTGAGATGAGTGAAGGGAGAGCAGGGAGAAACCCAAGTGGGTGCCTCTTCCAATCCCCTCTGCCTTCCCCACGGCCCACCCTCTGCCCCTCCTCCTAAATCCAACAATAGAGCCCTCCAAGTCATAACCCATGGGACCGGCTTAGCCTGTAAGAAGGCCACACTGAGCAGAGCGCCATGCATTCAGTGGGGTTTTTGGAACAGTTTTCTTTTCTGTTTGTGGTGGCTTCATGCGGTGGCTCATATGCCTCACCGCAGTTCCTGATCGTTTCTGAGGAAACGAACTTCCTGGAAGTAGGTTTAGGGAAGACTGTCTTCACCCCTAAACTGTTAAAAGGTTCTGCTGTATTGTTGATCTGCCTTACTGTAGCTGAATAATGCAACCAGATGGACTGCATCTTCCCCAGTGATCTACCATGAACGTGGCCATTAGGTCACCAGACCTGGGTTCAGATCCCCATTCTGCCCCTCTCATTGCTTGCCGTGTGACCTTGGGTGAGTCTTTGAACCTCTTCATGCTTTGGTTTCCTTATTTGCAAATGGAGGTAATAGTTCAAAATAAGACTGCTGTTAAAATGAAACATGGATAGAGTGGAAAGTTCTTCGCACGTAATAGACACTCAATGAATGGGAGCCATAATAGTTATTAAATGGTAGTTGGTGTGGTTGGCTATGGATTGGCTCTGATTTTAGGCATATCTCTTCTACCCTGGTTTATTTACTCCAGAGGTAGGTCGGCCCAGCACCAACTGCCCCTGCCTGCCTCACCAGAATTTTGTGAGGACGAATGGAATGGGGTATAATATTGTTACACTTGGTTCTCAGTGGGGAAGGAAGGAAGTGAATGCAGTACTTGCTATCATCACTGTGATTTTCTCAGACTCTGGTCTCTGCATTAGTAGTTCAGTGGTTAGTGGTCAACTATATTTTTGTTGAGATAAAAATTTGTAGGTTTTGGAATCCAGAGGTGCTGCCTTAATAGTCTCTAATGCCTAAAGATACTGAATCATTATGTAAAAAAAAATCCTCTAATTTTCTGCTACAATAGCTGGCTTTATTTTTACATCTCTTAATTGGTATCAGCTTTTCTTTCAGAATTACAGAACCATGGAAACTTGGCCTGAGAGAGAACTTTGGAAGTCATTGGAAGGGACACTTGCTTCTTTGCAAATCTTTGGAGGCTTCCTAAACATTCAGATTGCAGTACCACAAAGCACTTTTCTCTGACCCCGATTATGAGAACAGCAGAGTGGCCAATCTGTTGGTCCATTGCGTGACTCTACCTTTGGTCTTATGCAGGCTGGGAAATGCCATTGCTGCCCCACCTGTATCACTTCCTTCTTGCCTCTTCAGTGCTCACTGACGACGTTTAAATTTTAGCACCTGCACCTCATTGTCTAAGGCCTTTTCCTGGGCGTTAGAGCCCACCTGGGACACCCACATGCCAGGTGAGAGGTGCCATGGAATTCATGGCCCCTGGGAATAGCCTTCAACCAGTGGCAGACCAGGAATAGGTGGAATCATACTTAAGTTTGCTTACCCCTGAGTATCTGAGATACCTGTCCACCCTGACCCCCAGAGCTTTCCAGGAAGGCCAAGCTCTAGTTGACTCATTTTGGTGACTGGCTTGAAGTGTACCATCTGTTGGCTGGTTCCCCTTCCCCGTCCCATGTTCCTGTTCCCCTACAGGTGCTTCCTGGGATCACCCCCACCCCCCCATAGGAAATACCTGTGTTTAAATCCTCATTTCCAGGGCTGCTGTGGAAACCCAGCCTGAGACAAACGGTTGTCTTTCTCCACACTTTTGTAGATCGTTTGTGACAATGAGGTGCTATACTTACATTTCAGGGCTGCTTGTTGGATTTTCAGGCCACTGACCTTTTTATTTCTTCATGAGCTTTTGAGATTTTTTTCTCCTCTTGTCACCATTCTTAATCCTAAGAATTAACTGTTGAGGTTAACCAGACGACACAAATGCCTTGCTTTCACCTTGAATTATCTCTGGTACTGTTCCCTTAGTTATGACTAAACTGATGTATGTGGCCACCATGTAGGCTTTTGCTTTTCAGAATCTAAACTGATTGTTTATCCTAGTTAGGCTCCACATTCTACGTTTGTGTGTGTGTGTGAGATATGCCTAAAATAGCTCTTCTGGCTAATATGTGTAAGTTGTAATGAGATACCTTGATAATTTTATATTTAACGGCAGATGCCGTTTGACTGAGGAAGACCTCAGTGCATGAGCTGCTGCAGTTACATGTGTCCTGTGGCTTAGGTGAGATTCCCACAAGCACTGTGATTTCCAGAAACTTCCATGAGTGTTATGTTGTCCATGCCCAAAGTGGGAATGTTATTTCAACACTTACTGAGCACCTCCTCTGAGCCAGGAGTGATTTGGTGTTAGAGAGACAATAGTGGACAAAGTGGACAACATCCCTGCTCCCTCTTTCTTTCCCAGTGTTGTGAGGTTCAAATTCAACAATGAAGATGGAATCATTTGGGAAACTAAAATCACCATGGAAATAGAGGAATGGGTATGATGACCTTCAGCTCTTCATTGCCCATTTCAGAACACCACACTGATGTGGCTGGATGGGGTGCACCCTCTGTCCTTTCGTGAAGGCCACTCAGCCCATGAATTAGGCCCTTATCTTGTACTTAGATCCATTTTCTGTCCACAGCAAGTCTGGACACTCAAGAAGTGTCCCTTGCCTAATGCCACATCTTTCTTTAGTGCTAAGCTGCCAGAAAGACCATCTTTGCTTGCTGTTTCCACTTCCCAGTGGCCCTCTGATGTCCAGCTCTGTTGTTTCTTGGCCTTTGACTTACTTGATTTGTCTATAGTGGTCAAGGCCATTGGCTGCTCCTGAAATTCCCTTTCTGCTAACCTTGCCTTATGCCATTTCCCATCCTCTTTCCCTTCCTTTCATGATCCACGGTTGAATTCTTTCAGTCTACTAGCTCTCTGAATGAATGTTGAGTTCTCCACGACGTCTTCTCTTTAGTCCCCTCTGCCCTTCTAGAAGACCCCATGCATCATGTCTCATACTCTTCCCTATTTGCTTATGACCCTCCTGATGCTCTCTGTAGCTTAGCTCGCTCCCCTGAGGTGTCTCCACCCACATGGACACAGGTGGCTTACCTCCCTTTCTGTGCTCCACAGACACTTCATGCTCAACAAGTCCATAATGGAATTTGCTCCATTCTCCCCTCCAATGTGCCCTTCATCTTTGTTTTTTCTCCTGGCACATCGGTCCCTACAGTCATCTCAGCTGGAGACCTCAGCACTGTTAACCTGCTCATCCTGTAATGCATTCAAGTGGTTCAGTGTTTTCACATTTGTGTTTTCATCTCTTGTTTATGGAAGTCTTGTTATGTGGCATTCACTGGCCCAGACTCTAGGGATGTTGACATGGTGTCCTAGCTTGGGCAACCCTCCAGAAGCAGCTCCTGAGAAAGTGTTCAGTTGTGGGAGCTTTCTTTGGGAGGAGTAGATGCTGGTGGGCTAGAGACAGTCATGCTGATTTCATGGACCTAATTGTGCCCATCTCTTCCCAAATCCATGTTTAGTGAGGTCACATGGATCATGCTGAAATTGGCCATGATGAGAATATTTACACTATGAAAATTGGCCAGTGGTTCCAAACCAGGACATTTCCCCCCAGAGAGTTGGTTGTTAAACATTTATCAGCATGTTACTGGGAGTGAGGAATTAAGGGAGGGAAGGACAGCAGTTCATAAATTGTGCTTTATCAGGAGAGTTACACTGTAGACAGCTGGAGCATAATCCCAGGGGAGAAAATTCTGTAATCCAGTTTAGAATACACACCTCACAGTCATCTTGCTGGAGTGGGTAAGGTAGTAATACACCAGTCCCTACTAGTCAGTGGCTGAGGGTGGTCTCTGTTGGGCCCAGCAGGATCCAGCAGCCAGGGGAAGCCCTCAGGCAGTCAGGGGCAGCATGGATGGAGTATAATGATAAGGCCCAAGGTGGGAGGGATAGGCTCATCATTGAGCAAATGGTGGCTGATGAAGGCAGTGGACATCCAACATTGGGGTAGGCCAAAACCCAGCTATTAGTCATGTGTGGCTATGATCTTTTTCTCCCCAGACCTCGACTTCATGGACCTCCTAGGGGAAGACCGACAGTGGACGGTGGGGAGGAAGTTAATGCAGGTGAACGACACTCTGACTTCAGAAGATGCAGGACTCCGAAGCAGTAAGAACTGCACTGAACCAGGTAACAGACACAGCTGCGCCGTGGGCAGTGGCTGCCATTTTGTTGGGTTATGGCTGAGGAAGAGCTGGATGCCATGCTTTCCCTTTGAGTTCTAACCCAGAGAGCTCTCAGGGACATTTAGGGCAGGTGTCTAAGAAACTGAAAGGTGACATTCCCAGGGGATTCTACCTCTGTATTCTTTTTCTAGGGCATGGGGGAAAAGGTAAGTCAGTCAGTGATCCTCCTGATTCTGTGCTGATATCAAATGTGGAGGCTGGTGCTCTCAAATGGGAAACTGAGTTGGGAGCAGGATGGGTGAGGATGTTCTCTGGCCATCTTTGCTTTAATCCCTGGAATCCTCTCTGGCTGGTTTTTAAGCAGGAGCCTTGTTTCTGTCATAGTAAAGACACAGGGGTTGAACCATATCCTTAGCTGTGTTGTTGGTCTTCTTGGAAGAAGTGAATATTCATTTATCAGCTGTCATATTTGATATCTGTTGTGTCTTTCCTCAGAAAGATATGGAACGTTTTATCTCCAATGTATTGAACTCGAAAGGAAAGCAAACACAAAGGGAATGAAGGGGACTTGGAATTGTCAGAACTCAGCTCACCAGATCTCAGGAAAGGCGAGCACCCTCTGGATGGATGAGGGCCTTGCTAGTTTAGACCAGGGGTCAGCAAGCTTGTCTCACAAATGGCCAGACAGGAAATATTTTAACCTTTGCAGGACATATGCCATGTCTATAGTTTTTGTTTTTTTAAAACATTGTTTTATAACGCTTAACACATTTAAAAACCATTCTTAGCTCACAGACCATACAGAACAGTCACTGGGAGGTATTAGGCCTGTGGCTCTACTTTGTCAACCCCTACTTGGGCTGTTTGGCTCTCTGGGACCTCCCTTCCCTGCGTGATGGGAACTTGGGCCCCATGCATGCTCCCTCTGAGGGGTCAGAAGCTCAACCATGTGTTGATCCCACCTCCAAAGGCCAGTCTCATTTTTAGTGTCACGCTGGAAAGATATAAAGTCTTCATTGCAGCCCAAAGAACTTTAGACCTTTGAGAACAGAGGGTGTTCTGTGAAGCTGTGCTTCTACCTTTTTTGGGGGAAAGGTGAGTAGAGGTGTTTCACCACCATACTGAGAATTTTAATAGTCCATTCCCAAGCAGAGCTGGAAAGAATTAATAGATTACCGGCAACCGCCCACCCCAAACCCACAACAACCCACAATGCTACATAATCTATATTTCTCAAGCTGGAGAATTCAGGAGTTACTGTGGCTATTGTTAAATGCTCTGAAGGAACACGCTTGAAGATTAGTGAAGCACATGGCTGCTCTATGAGCTAGAAGCAGAAACGGGTGTGATGGGTTTGAGTGCCACACTGAGCCAACAGAGCCCTTTGTAGAGAGATATGCCAAGAACCCTGGTAGCTGATCTGGTCATGTAGCCAAATATTTTTCAGTATCTTCTTATAACCAAGAGGCAGGTGGTGAGCGAGATGTCAGAAGACTGGAAATACAGCATTAGGGAGGCCAGTCGGCACCTTTGGTGTACCTTTGGTATGGGAAAGAATGGAGTCACACGCAGTACAGTGACTGGCTCCATGCTGAGGTCTGCTACCATGCTCAGGGCCAATGGTGATGGAAGGAGCTTAACCTGTTGAGGGATGTGTTTTGGGGGGGGTGGTGCTGTCTCTGTGAGTGGCATTGCTCATTGTATCTAGAAGTGTCTTTCTCAGAGTGACAGGTGTAGAAGAATAAAGTACATTAAAAGCCATTGCAAGAGAGGAAATGACTCAGCTCCCAGGTAGAAAGGAAGATGTCTAAGGTTTTTAAAAAGAGCACCCGTCCAGCCCCTGCTGGTGTTGACAGGGAGGACACAGGGGGAGAGAGGAGGAAGGGCTTCTAGAGGGCAGCGGGAGGATTGAACAAGAGCTCATAATGCTGCTTAGAGCTGTCCAGAAAGAATAAAGACCCAGAAGGAGCATTCTCAATGTCTTCATTTGGGGGCTCTGGGAACTGGGCTTGATTTCTGGGGCCGTTGACTCTGAGCCAAAGGCTACAAAGAAGGTGATCATGCCTGAAACAGGAGGGGTCTTTTTTAAGTCCTGGCACATCAAGGGCCTACCTGGAGTCTCTGTTCTTCAAGCCTGCTTTGACCACCCCAAGCTGCAGTGACCATTCTGTTTGCTGAATGTTTTTTTGTATGTCTCTAACTGTGCTGTCTAATATGGACACTCAGTGGTGACTTAAATTCAAATTAATTCAAGTTAAATACATTAAAAATTCAGATTCTCAACTGCGCTAGCTACATGTCAAATACCTAATAGCTGTGTGTGGCTCATGGCTGCCATATTGGAGAGCACAGATCATAGCCCATTTCTATCTGTCATCACAGAAAGTTCTATTGGACAGGCAGGTCTAGAACTTCATTTGTCTTTGGACATATATCCCGTCTTTCCAGCTTAGTTACAAGCACCTCAAGGATATAAAGTGGACATATAGACTTGAGAGCCCCATCTCTTCCTGGGTTTGGGGGTCACCATCCCCTGGATTTGAATCCCAGCTTAGAAGCTCTGGGCTTTGGGCCAAATAGGCTTTCTGAGCCTCTGTCTGCCTCTGTCTGCTTCTGTGAGAAATTGAGGTAATCATTTTGACCTTTCATGACTGATGTGAGAATTGGTAATGAAGTCATGAAGTATGACTGTGTGTGGTAGTTCTGTAATAAGAGCTCACTCATGAAGTTCTGTCTGCTGGGGGCAGCCATCTATCCATTACAGGTGGGTCATGGAACTACTTTCTCCAGTCCCTCCTCACAGAAATGGGCACGTTTGGCCCATCTGGTTCTGTCAATAGGCCACGTTCTCAGGTGGCCCAGGTCTGAGCAGTCAGGAAGCTGCACTGAAAGGTTCAAGCACTATTTTCTAATACAGGCAAGCTTGAACGATCTCGCCACGGTAATGAGCACGGCACCTCTGAGGAATGCTCTTTCTACAAGAATGTGGTCAAAACATGACCACAGACACACATGACCCCCCAGTAGCCTTGGTGCCCTTTCCAGAATGCTACTGGAAGTCTTCTCAGTCTGCATGGAACAGATATTTTACACAAAAGTGTTGAGAGCTACAGCACTCATAAGGGCTGCATTTGGAATTTAAATTTAGTAGTGTTCATCTTCCCTATCTCTAACTTCCTGTGGGAGGGCAGGACTGAGCTGGACGGAGCCAAGGCCCAGTTGCCCAGGTTTCCTTAAGAGGTCAGAGCAGCCCTGTAGGCAGTGAATATTGCTTGTACTGGTTGAATGCAGTAGTGTCTGCTCTCGAAAGTCTTCAATGTAGGGGCTAGGAAGGGAGTCGTGTGGTTTCTGGACCACCTCCCTTCCGCTTTGTGATGATGTCAGGAGAACGAGAGTGTATTTCCAAAGATGATGCATTAGCCTTCCCTCTGTGCTCAGAGGGGTGATTATTTACTCAGGGACCTGAGCATTTGGGGTGCCAGTGTGTGCCGTGGCCATGTGAATATTGGCACCAGGGTTGTCGGCAGGACTTAATTTGGCTCTTGTCATAAGGTACACCTAGTGCTACCTCGTCATGTCGCTGGGCTTCTCAGACTGTGTTCTTGGAACCCCTGGCTTTAGGTGCCATTAGAGTAAGTAGGTTCCGAGCCTGGAGATGGAATGACCTCCATTCTGGTTGTATTCTCTGTTTAGGATAGGGGGCTGGTTTGCTTCTCAGATGTCAATTTCCTCATCTATGAAATAGACCTGCACCTAGTTTATCCTTTCTACTCCTTCCACTGTACAAATCCAGTAATTCCACAACATTTCAAGAAGAGAGATTCATGAAAACCTCCACCCCAAGATGCCCCACTCCGCTTTCCCAAATAACTTCTTGGCATTTGCAAAATTCCATGTCATACCTCAGCCCCTCCTTGGACCCTCTTTCCCCTTCCCCCTTTCCTCTTTCCCTCCCCTGCCCCATCCCCCATCTCTCTCTTTGCCTTCCTCTGAAAACCAGGTGCCCAGAGTACCTGCCCAGGCGACGATCAGGATGCAGGGTGCCCAATATAGTGTCAGTGCTGTCTTTGGTTGGTGTGGTAACATGAAGTTGACACGTTCTTCATATGGCAGCTGCCGCTTTAAAAACATGTTGTTTTGCAGTATTTTGGATTTTTTTTTTTAAATGGCATTTTTCCCTTGCCCCTTCAAGACATGGTTTTGGTGGAAATTGGTAATTTTTTGTGCCTCCAGGACTGCATGAAAAAGACTAAGCTCTGGGCTCCAATTTTTCTGCAATTGTTCCAGTCCTCTGTGAATTTTTAAGGTTGTTTTCTTAGCCTGACACTCCCGATTTCATCTAGAGCCTGAAAACCTATTGTTTTTTGGCAAATAAGACTTAAAACTGTTTACTCAGATGACCTATTAAGTGAAATTTAACTTTGAATAAATTTTATCCATGGAAAATTAAGTTAGCTAAATGTAATATTGAGAGTGGTGGACAACTGTAGCAGAAATGAACTCTTTGTAGTATTTATTTGTACACTTTGCAGAATTTTATTTATACACTTCGCAGTCTGTCTTCAGAAAAATCTATCATCTTTTGGTTTTTAGTTCTTTGATGTTTTAAGGAAATGAGCTTTTCCTCAGAGTGCCTCCTTCAAATAAACTTTGGAAGAAAGAGCTATTTAAAATGATAGCCTTTGGTGTGGGCTTAACTCTGAGATCACTGGATGTTCTTTTGAGAAAGGGCTCATCTTCCTCTCTCTGCCTGGCTTAATTGGGTCTAAGATCCTTGGGCCTGTGCTGTAGGCACCTGTGGGGCATGCCAGGAGTGTTTACTCGATCAGGTGTCTACTGGAATATCCTGAAAGCATGTGATCTGAGAGTCAAATATGAATTGTGGTAGAAGAGGGAAGCCAGAGGTCCATATAAGAGAAGCAATATGGGTAAGTTCAAGGGGTGAGTTATGTCCACAGATCAGCAATCAGCACAGACTGATTCAGGTTGCAGGTCATGAACAAA